TGAATTAACTCGACTCATCCTTGCTCTGAATGGTTTATTATTACTTATATAAATGGTCTGTTGTAGCCCACCACAACCACAAACTGATTAATCTGAAGATTTAATGTAATAAATTAGTGTTGCAAAAAATAATGGCGCAATTAATTCATAAATTTAGGACAAAGATTACAAAGCTTTTGGTGTCTTTTGACTTTGAAAGTTTAGAAGGTAATTGATGTCCAATATTTCAGAATTTATTATATGGAAGAAGGGAGGATTTTACTATCGAAATATAGGAATGATAAGAATTGTTGTGATGCTTTCAGATGAATGGCTTCAACGTAGAATCTGATATTTGGCACACGATAATATATTGAATAATACATTCTACCGGCGAAGAAAGAACGCTTACAGTTTAGTGCTGGCAACTGTTGCTGAAATATGAATTGTTGAACGAGTATAAAGGATATTTTTTTTTAGGAGTTTGGAACTTTTGTTAACGAATTCTTAAGAAGGTTTAATTTTTCACGAGATATAAGGTCGACGAAGAAGCTTAAGGAATGTTTGAGAGTTATAAGGTCAAAGGTTTCGACAGCTACACCAAATAGTCTTCGAAAATTCTAAAATGCCTTATCTGTGGACTTCATTGTCGAACTTATTCAGTCAAACTTGAAAAGTAACGTTTGATTGTAAGATAACCAAGAACACATTGTGTTTTCAGAATGACAAGAGAATACAACAACTATTGACGTTGAGGAAATACAAAACCCGACATTGTGCAGCGTATATGCTTTCCATGCAATAACTTGCCCTAAAATACTGAGTCGTGGATCATAATGTTATGGCATTGTACTCAAAACATGTTATGAATTTACACCGTGTATTTTTACAAAAAATCGCGAATAAAAGAAAGCAGATGTCTAAACACATGAAAATTTTACAACTACTAAAGAACAATACAGAGGTTTGAGTAGTTAGTATTAAAAAATTGAATATATAAAATCACTAAATCACATAACAGCCTCAACCAATATAAAGTCGCGGTGGAATGGTATATACGAACCATATTTGGCGGTACGTAGGTAATGTGATGCAACAGAAAATTAATCGCTTTTTGGGAAGGGTATGTGACAGCTCTTTCCCACGGAAAATATTCATACACTCACATCATAATGATATGTTCAGGTCTGGAACTTAAATTTTCGAAAACGAAAATGTTCGTTCTACTTAAATGGCATTGGAAAATAAAGGAATATGGATCTACTTAGGGTCCCAGGACCATCCATAAAGACGCCCGCAACAAGTCGTGTGTGGTAAGCAAAGTGGGACGTCTTGTAAGAGGTGAAAATGTATGCACGCACACAGGTCAGTGGTAAAAGCCGTCCAGTACCACAGGAAACACTACGCAACATAATTAAGAAGGATCTTTGTCCGGAAATGAGGTTAACAGGGTAGGGGTTCACCAAGATAAAGCTTCATACCTCCTGTTCAACAATTGGATACCTCGAGCAGTTGAAGAATGGAATAGTATTCATGTTATTCCATACGAAGACATGCCAGTCACGTTATCTGACTTAGAATATATGGATTTTTTTGAGATCGTATTGTTTAAACTAGTGCTGAGAAACCAGATGGATTATGTAAAGCAAGCAGAAAGAGATGCTGTGGACAAAATATCCTTATGATGAAGCCTTTTACTATGGAAAATATGTTGCGGGTCTGTTGTCAAGATGCACGGTCGTCAGACAGAAAACGACCAGACATGTACTTTAGTAACGTGATGAGGCTTCAAAATTGTTTTAATATAACGTGCTCAACCTATACATCCTAAGGTGATAGTTGCTTTAAGTAACTAAACTATAGCTATTTAAGCTATTTTTAAATTTTTGTATACTTGGTTTGTTTGTTATTGAGCGCAAAGTTACACAATGGGCTATCCGTGCTCTGCTTACCACGGGTATCGAAATCCGAGGTTTAGCGTCGTAAGCCTGTAGACTTACTTCTGAGCAGTGGGCATTTTTATATAGAGTCGCTATATATATATATATATATATGTTTGTTTGTGTGCATCCCCCTGGGGGTTGGGGAGAGATGTATGGAATGTTTATCATAAAGCTCTAAGAAGAAAACGATCCAGTTCTTTTTTTGTGTTTCATTTTTGTTCAGTCTCCACTGGTAACTTTTGTTCATTTTTTGAGGCCTTCTCTACATGTTCAGGTTTATGTAAATATTTCAGAAGTAATTGAAATATGTTTCTCACTGTGTTACTGTTTATAGTTTTTCCTAGGTGGTTAGCTTTTTGTCTGGTGTATAAATATCCAAAAATATCCACTAAAATTAGTGACCTATGAATCAACATACTTGCTTGTAAATCAGACACTTGTACTAGTTAACATAAAGAAATTGGCTTTACGGTGCAATGAACAAGACTCCATTGCTTTTTTTTAGCGTTGTTTGTCGAGGCAGATTAAAGAAGATCAGTTGAGGTAAAGATTAAAATTTGGTAAAACGATGTAGTTACTGATAATGAATGGTTAGAGGCGGTCATGCCAACGAAGAAGGGAGCATTGTTCTTATCTGTAGGTGTAATATTTAAAGTAAAAGTTTTAGATTTGATGTGTTGTGGTATCCTGCACTGAACCTTGATAAGGCTTGTTTATTTGTTCTACTGAAACGCTTCTTCTCTGGCACCCGTTCACTGTACCATGCAGAACTTAAAATCTTCCAAGTCTTAACACTTGTCACAGGCAAGGTAGATTGCACTTGAGTACGTATGTAAACTACGTACCTTACTCTGCTGTTATTTCCTGAATTACTTAATCATTTCGGCGTGAAATACGAGTAGTTTCTGTTGTTCTTGAAGAAGTTTTACTGGCTGTGGCTTCAGTACACTATGCTTTTAAATACTAACACTATTAATAGTCAGAGTAAATCCGCGGAAAATAATTGGAACAAATCTTAGTAAGTTTGTTTGTTTGTTTTTAATTTCGCGCAAAGCTACACGAGGGTTATCTGCGCTAGCCGTCCCTAATTTAGCAGTGTAAGACTAGAGGGAAGGCAGCTAGTCATCAGCACCCACCGCCAACTCTTGGGCTAGTCTTTTACCAACGAATAGTGGGATTGACCGTCACATTATAACGCCCCCACGGCTGAAAGGGCGAGCATGTTTGGTGGGATGGGGATGCGATCTTAGTAAGTTGATGTTATTCTAGAAAGGTGTGGACTGAAGTTGTAAGTGATTAAAATAAAGAAATATTTTCATTGTATATAAAAAAAATTGATTACTTGAAAGGATGTCTAAACGATAAAGTTTTTACCTTCATCGTAGGAATATTCTGGTTATTAGAAATATTTAGGGTTATCATTTTATCATAAATAATTGTGAAACGAACGGTTAAATTAACAATTTAGTAATTTGAACTCTTAGTTACAATTTTATGTGATTTGTTTATCTGCATTGGTTTCTTTTTTTTTTTCTTTTCAGTTTGGTTGGTGACCGTTCTTTAGTTATGACGCGAACAAACAGACAGACGGCGCCAAAATCTAGTCATGGGATTGTTAATGTCATTGTGGCTAAATAGTACTGATATATGACTAACAAATAAATGCGGCTATAGCGTCATAAAACTTGTGAATATAGAGATGTGGTAAGAAAGAAAAAGTTATCAACGTTTTGGCTTACAGAAATGTTGAAAAAATGGTCTATTTTCCCCTCACAACAATTTGAAGTTGTTTTTTAAATATGACGTAGTTATTATTGATAATGGGTAGATTTGAGAAGCTATCTCACGCTGATAAATTTGGTGTGAATATTTAATTGGACATATTTTCGTTTCTTTTTGTCTCACTCACGCTTTTCAATTTGGTGTGAATATTTAATTGGACATTTTTTTTGTCTCACTCACGCTGATCAATTTGGTGTGAATATTTAGTTTGACATATTTTCGTTTCTTTTTGTCTCACTCACGCTGATAAGTTTGGTGTGAATATTTAATTTGACATATTTTCGTTTCTTTTTGTCTCACTCACAATGATAAATTTGGTGTGAATATTTAATAAAAAGCTCGAGCTTGACCATCGCTTTAGAATGCTCACACACGTTTAGGTGTTCACGAACTGCAGGTTGAAAATCCGGCTTTAAAGTATAGTATGTATTTTCTGAGTTACATTTAAAGACTTGAATAAAACGCTTGTTCTCGCTAACTATAGGTGGAGTTCTAAAAATCAACATCTGAATATACCTCATTGAACTACGCTTTCCAAACCCTTCTTTAAAACTTCTTGTTATAAATATGTCATCAGCATAAAAATCTATGTTGTGATGTATGAAACTAGACCTGTCAAAAAGCGGGTGACTGAGTAGCAGCACCTTTCTCTGGTAAGGCCTAGTGATTTTTCTCAAACGCCAAATCAACCGGTGTAGCTTTAAATATAATGTTTTATTATCGTCCTCGAGCTTACTCGCGTGTGCGATATGAGCACGATAAACTAAGGACTACAAACCAAGCGAAATAAGTCCCATGTTGGTTCAGGACTTATACGTTGGTACATGTTATCCGATCCACTGATGCGTATTCTCTCCATGCTGTTTTGTCTTCTAATTGTCTCAGGTAATAAGGTCAAATTGGAATGAATCACCTGTGGTTTGCACACCTGTTGCATTTTATTACAGTTGCCTAACGGAGCCCTGCAGAGAAGGCGATTACCAGCCTACTAGCGAGATTGACCTGTTGCCGTAGTATTTGCAGGTTACTTTACCTTCAAGTTCTAGAGAAAGAGAGACATATTATTGAAGAAGATAAATGTCTAGACATGTGTGTTTACACGGCTAAAACATTGAAGTAGAATATTTAAATATCTGCTAAATATACATATATTTGTTATATTTTATGTCGTTATTCGTTTTATTTACCACTTGCCTAGTTAACTGTTTCCCTCTAGTATAGATTAGTTCAGTTCTTGTGGAGAATTTCGCACATAAACAGATTACTTACCATGCTTTCTTCATCCTTATCTTACAGATGTGCATCTCCAGCCACACTATGACGTAACTAGCGTCATCCCAGGACAATGGATGCACCGGATGTTATTATGGACACAGGGCAGAGGACGGATATACAAATCATCCAGAGTGAGCATCAAGAAGTATCCGCAACCAGTCAGGAACGTTTATTGAACAGTGATTCTGTTTCAGTTTCGAGTAGTGGATTAGCATCAAGAAATAGCTTAGCCAACATGACACCGCAGGATAATCCACCCAATCCTGTTAACAAGCAGAGGGCAAAGGAACGGAGTAAGGAGACCAACCAGGCTCTGTGCACGAACTTGGTGGAATTCAACAGTTGTGAGACTTGTGGGCAGAAACTAAGTCCCGCTCTAAACCACCATCATTGTGGCTCTCGAGAGCCAAAGGACGATGATGGAGCCGAAAGGGAGAACACTGATGGTGCTGCTACTGAACTATCTGATAGTGAGGTGGAGACATTTACTGGGAAGATCGTCTATAACCCTGACGGTTCTGCGTTCATTATTGAAGGAGAGTCTGAGTTTAGTGACGAAGAATGTAGCTTAGATCTACCTCAGCAAGAAGGCAGCATCGTTGATTCGCGGGGTGTATCCCCCCAGCAGTACAGGGGTTTTCCCCAAGTAGTGAATGCCTTTCACATTTCGAAGAATCCTGCTCTTTATAGTGCCCTGTACGACCAAGCTTACAGTTTCCTCCAAGAAAAGAAAAATGTTCCTGAAGTACCTATTATGCACTGTTATAGGGTGTTTACTGTGCGAGAGAAAAATGAGACTAATTGTAACGATAAAAGTGAAAACTCTGGGCCTGATAAAAAGCCGAGTATCGTAAGCAAGAGAAATATTCCTTCTTTAGAATATTCTTCAGTTCCGGTTAAACCTATTCTTATGTGTTTTATATGTAAGCTGTCTTTTGCATATGCCAAATCATTTGTTGCTCATGCTGTTGGTGAACATAATATTGCCCTCGTTGATGAAGAGCGACAAATTTTGTCACAAAAGAATATCTCTGCCATAATTCAAGGAGTGGGAAAAGAAAAAGAACCGCTTTTGTCATTCCTAGAACCTATTCCTAGCAAGGCAGCTGAAGTCAATGAAACGCCCCACTATCAAGGAAGTTTCTATGACCAAGCTGCTCACAGCTCATACTCTAGTTCCTCGGCAGCATCAAGTGCCGTCAGTTCTCTCCTAAGCATTGTCAATAGTGCTGTGTCTAGTGTGATTTGCCAGTCTGTAAACAGTTCAGCAGTTACGACATTAGTCCCTGCAAGCTTAAACCCAGTTGCGTCAGTCAGGGACATCAAAGCATCTGTGATTGATTCTAATTCTACAACAAAACAAAATAATCAGGGAAAATCTTCTGACTACCCAAAAACCAGTGAGGAGTCTTTAGCTCCAGAACTTGAGGACTTAGCAAATATAGAGAAATTAGCAAAAGCAGCTGCTGCAGCCGCAGAAGCGAAGTCTTTTTCTGAACTAGAGAATACTAGCTATAAGGATCTGAACGGGAAAAAATTCCAGGAAGAAAATGGTGAAGAACAGAACACAGATATTCACGATTCTAAAAGTCCTGTTCTCTCTCATCTATCGATGACGTCAGATAGGCCAGCTAGCAGTAACAGTGGGGGTAGCATATCGCCTAGAGGATGTGTTTCCCCAAAAGTTCCAACCTCACCAAATCAGTTTTTAGCTACAAGCTATTCTCCTGGATATGGAGTTGGCAACATTATGGAAATCTGTTCCCAACACCCTGATGGTAAGACGAACGGAGTAGAATGTCCAAAATGTGACCTTATCCTCGGGTCTTCAAAATCTTTGGGTGGTCATATGACCATGATGCACTCCAAAAACTCCTGTAAAACTCTTAAATGTCCGAAGTGCAATTGGCATTATAAATATCAAGAAACTTTGGAAATTCACATGAAAGAAAAACACCCTGAAAACGAAATGAGCTGCATCTACTGTATTGCTAATCAACCACACCCGAGGCTTACTCGTGGAGAGACGTACACTTGCGGATACAAACCATATCGATGTGAAGTGTGCAATTATTCTACCACTACGAAAGGAAACCTCAGTATTCACATGCAATCCGATAAGCACATAAATAATGTTCAAGAGCTACAAAATGGAAACATTTCCACCAAACATATAATCCAGTCCCAACCGCTACCTAACGCTCATGTTCCAGAACCGCCCAAAAAAGGGCCTTCTCCAACTAAGCCAAAGGCAACGTGGCGTTGTGACGTATGTAACTATGAAACTAATGTTTCCCGAAACTTGCGAATTCACATGACTAGTGAGAAACACACTCACAACATAATGGTGTTGCAACAAAACGTTAAGCACATGCAACAGTTAACAGCTCTTCAGCAAGCTCAAGCTCTTGATCCAATGTTTCAGTTTCATCCGGGATTATTACTTCCACCCGATAACCAGTTGCAACCTGAAGCTGCCTTAGCAGACATGTATTACAACCACGCGCTCTTAATGATGGCAAACCAACAGCAGCAGCAGCAGCAGAGAGTAATGGCGGCAGCAGCTGCTGCATCCTCTGGTCCAGGTAAAAGTCCTACTGGACTGTCTTCTATGACCCCCATTGCCACTCCCACAGTAGATATGGAACACCCAGACCCTACTCTCGTACCAGACATGCCTTATGATGATGATTCTAAGATGTTCGAGTGTTGCATCTGCAATTTGTTCTCAGCCGACACCGTGGAAGGTTTAAATCACCATCTTCAGCAGGATCGTACAAGAGAGAGGGAAGACGAGGTGCTGATGGTTGTTTCTGGGAACTTCATATGTAAACTGTGTTCCTATAAAACTAATCTGAAAGCTAACTTCATGTTACATAGTAAAACTGATAAACACCTTCTACGTCTCCAGCATGTTAACCACATCAAGGAAGGTGGGCCTAGAAATGACTGGAAGCTCAAATTCGTCAATATGAGTAACTCAGTGCAGATTCGATGTAACGCTTGTGACTATTACACCAACAGTGTTCATAAACTTCAAATTCACACAAATAACCCAAGGCACGAAGGCTGTGCTAGATTGTTCCTGTATCTCCAGCTTAGTAAGTCCAATTTGAAATCAGAATCGTCATTTTACCACTGTGTTTTATGCAACTTTTCTACTAGCACTAAACAAAAGTTAATTCAACACGTTAGCTCTCTAGAACACGTAAAACACGACAATATGAGACAGATACAGAGAAGCATGGATGACCATGGAAGGGAAGATAACTTCAAAGACATCTTTGTGGTGAAAGAAGTTTCAGAAAATAAATCTGGAACAGATTCAGAAACATGTAAGTAATAGAGAATCAGTAGAGCTACACCAATTTTCTATATTATTGCTTATATATAAAACAAAACAAAAAACACTGGCGAACAGTAATTCCTTACCCTTCATTGAAACAACAAACTTTGTTTAGGTTTTTTTCCCTGTAATTTTGAAACCTGTTGGTAAGCTTTAAGGATAAGTTCCACTTAAAGACTCTGGGATACTTGGAGATTCCTGATAAAAGAAGTAACGTCCCTGGTTACTTTGTTCGTACGTTTAATCATTTCCTTCCTGAGTCCATTTTGTCTATCTGTGTCATTGCTTCCCTGCCGTTACAGACATGCAAGGGTAGTACTAACTCAAAGTGTTAGCACGTGGCTTTAGATTCCCTATAAAACTTGTAACTTTTGGTAAAATTCCCGTTGTTGTGTAATACGCTGTTTAATTCGTACATTTAAACTTTTTTATGTTTTCGTATATACTGGTGTTATAATTACGTTGTTTATATTGTACTCAACACTTTATCTTGGCGTTAAACTTCGCATCTTATGTTCAACAGAAAATAGTAAGTCAGGAATACTTCAATCGCTTGTCAGTGTGCGTTTAACGATCTCGTTACGGTGTTGTAATGAATGGAAGTGTTAAAACGGCTGAGGAAAGTTTAGGCATTACCCGAGATAGTCAAACTTCCACGATACTTTTGCTCTATATATTCATTATACTTGTTAGGTTATTGATGTTATTTAAAAGTACACGATTAATATCTGTTGAGGTTTGTTTGTGTATAGAAACAGAGTGATGGTGGACTATAACCATACAGTTGAATAATATAGAAAAAAAAGACAGTCCAAGAATTTCATTAAAGTTTCAATGACAGCATTCGAAATTACAAGTTCTGAAAACGAACGAAAATTATATAATACAGTTTTATAAATTATGTTAGTTATGAACACCTTGGCGGGAAATGAATAGACTACAAAACTTTTGGTATTCTTAATCAAGTTAAGAAGATAAAATACGATCGATAGTTCAACCAAATACGTTTTCCAAGAGACACGTGATAAGAACATAGAAATATTTTTATGCCTAACCATTAACGGGTAGCACTGTTTGAAAACTTTATGACCTTGTACTTTTCACTAATCAGACAAATGCTCAACTCTCTGTATATGTCCCTCAGCGGTAGACTTGCAGACTTATAACGCTAATAAAAGGGGCCCGATACCCGCACGGGGCACGCGCAGCTAGCTCATTGTATAGCTTTGTGCCTAAAAAAACTGTATGTATATTTTTTATTAATTTAGAACTGTTATCAACAGTCTTGGTTAATTAATTTAATGTCTAACTTGAAGTGAGAAAAATCAGTAAAT